GGCGTAAAGGAGTGTAACAAATAAATATGCGCAGTATGAAAATCATAGGGATATTTAGTCGTGATAATTCCATATTTAGAATAAAGATTTTTTCGGTGATCTCACTTTCCTTTTTGATCTCACCCGATAGTGTGTTACATAAATCAATTGCAAATTTTTTTTTTTTTTTTTTTTTTTTTTTTAAGAAAAAAGAAGATTCCATCTATCTATTTTGCATGGAATATTGAAGATACAACAGAATACTATATATAAATATATGTATGATTCGTTCGATTTTCCAATTAAAGTTCGTGAACCCATAAAATTATTTTTATCAGTCCACAATATCAAATGCTTTTATTTGTTTTTTTCCTTTGCTCTTCCTTTTTTGTCTTGTTTGTTACAGTTGATCTTTTTATGAAACGTCGTTCAGTACAGATTGCATGGAATGAAAATGAAATGTCTTTATAAATACAATCTGAAGTACAAGATGTTTGATATTAAATACAAATCTTTTATTTGCGGGTTGAAATGGGATAAACAAATAGAAAATTAATTCCATGTCCACATATTTATCGCTTTAAAACTTTATTTTTTAATTGTTCCTACTCGACGTTCTTATATCTACGGAAGACCCTACTATACCTCAAAAGCCGTTATATGGTTTTGTACAAAGTCATAAAATCTGAAAAAATTTCCCTCACCTTTCGACAACTGCACCACGTTTTGATATAAGGCATTGGTACATTATACCCAACTTTCGTTATACAACTAAATCTGGTCTTACCCTTATGCGTACAACCGGAATCTTTTTGTTATGATAAACAACGGATGTCCAAAAATCATTTGGATCTTCAAAAAAAATATTACGTAATTAATTCATTTCTCAAAGGAACTGTTTCCCGTCGCCTGTAACAATTACTCAAGGACAAATTAATTGCAATTAAAAATAAAATTTTTACCAATGAGTCCAATAGAAAAACCAAAATTTTTAAACTTTTTTTTCATATAAACACAAGTTTTTATACTGTAAAAGACTTGACTAAGTCAGCAACGAATAGTACCGATTTGTTCACTTTTATTAAATATAATTATAAATTAAAAATAATTTTTTTAAAAAAAATTTTTATCTATATGATTATTTAACTTTTAATTTTCGCAATGTAATTTTAACTTTAATTAAATATAGGTCATTTAAACTTTATTTTAGCTTTTTAATAATTTTAATAATTAGCTAAAAATAAAATAATAAATGGTAAAGACAATTTTAACATTTGGATTCAGTTAGTCGGCTTAGTCGGCATCACTAGGTCTGACTATATACATATTATGTCGCGCAATTATGAAATTTCGTCCTGAAAGATAAGCTGTGGTGCATACACATCTTATATACGGTACTTCTCACTTTATTTACATCATACACACGTGGTTGTTACACCACTGGTTTTCGTCTTATCTACTCAATACTCAATACAATTTTAGTAGCATAAACTACTCAACTGCTGGTTGACCATACATTACTAATATTCTTTCTTTTTCTTACTTTCAGATTCAGTTCCGTCTCTGCTGGCTGAGGATCGGATTCTGTTGCGGCGCTGCGGTCTAACGGTAAGTGACTAATGATTTTTATTGGCGTAGGGTTAATCATTAATATTAACTATTACTAATACTTTTTTTTTCTTTCTTTTTCTTTTAAGGTTCGGTCAGTTCCGGGATTTTTTTTTAGGATCGGTTCATTCTGCGATAGCTGCTGCAGTATTACGTTACAGTAAATAGCATCAGTTTCTTTTAGGGTCGGGCGATTAGTAATATTAAATTATTACTAATTGTCGTTTTATTTTAATTTTTTTTAGATATTCTGCTGCGGTGCTGCGGTCCAACGGGCTAATGATTTTTTTTTTTTGACGCCGGGTCGATTAGTAATATTAACTATTACTATTACTTTTTGACTTTTTATCTTTTCTTTTAGGTTCGGAATCTTTATCGGTTGATTGCTGCTGCAATATTACAGTAAGTGGCTTCAGTTTCTTTTGGCATCGGGCGATTAGTAATATTAAATTATTATTTTCTTCATTTTTTTTTAGATTTCAGTTGGACTCTTCTGTGGTGCTGTGGTTTAACGGTAAGTGGTAATGACTTTTTTTATTGGCGTCGGGTTGATTTCTTTTAGGTTCGGTCAGTTCCAGGATTTTTCTTTTTTAGGATCTTGTTCGTTGCTGCGATTGCTGCTGCGGCATTACGTTAAATAGCTTTAATTTCCTTTGGCGTTGGGGGATTAGTAATATTAAGTTTTTAATAAATTTTTTTCTTTCTTTTTCAGTTCCGTCACTCTGGCTGAGAATCGGCTTATTCATTGATCGGCAATTAAATTATACTTAAACAAAGTAGGACTTTAATAAAAATAACTTTGGTTTATGTAATAATTTATACATATGAATTTAAGTACGCTAATATATTTATAGTTAGAAAATTTTATTATGCAATTTCAGTCAATTCGGATTATACTGTATGTAAATCATCCAATTTTCCAAAATCTTTATATAAACAACCGTTATTCGTAAGAAAATGACATGATTTTGTTATAATGAACTGCAAACTTATTACGACTACAGCCGCGTACTCACGTACTCACTATCACGTGACTTGCTGCGGAATTACTATAAGGAAGTGACATGATCACGTGTTTCTGCGGATTACTATATAAGGCAATGGCGCAGTAATCACATGTTAGTGAGACGTGAGTATATGGTGTGACAAATAACGTAACCGTACTCAATAGCCTGCTGTAGTTGTAATAAATAACCTTATAATCAATGCAATGAAATGCGGTGAATGTACAACAGCGCAGTGAAACATAGCATATACAGTATTGAAAAAGGACCCTTCCTTTTTGGAATGTACCATTTAGGAATTTAAATTTTTTAAATTGTCAACAAATAAAACTATTTGTTAATAATGTCAACTTCCACTAATATTAAAGATTCAAGTAATAACATTAATTGGTTAAAAAAATTATTAAAAATATTAACTTGTACTAATATCAAAGATTCAAGTGATAACATTAATTGGTTAGAAAAAGAAAAATCAGCAGAGAAGGGTGATGAAGGGTCAATGCATATTCTTGCCTTACAATACTACAATGGTGAAGGNGCCTCAATATACTTTTCAAAAGAATCACTTCGTCCAACATGAAGATATTCTTTTATCACCATTTTTTTTTCTGGACACCTTTCCATATCAAGAGCAAAGTAAGCATATCTTTCAGCACCTGCAGAAAATGGTTGTGGAGCAATCTTAAAGGAGAAACTTCTAGAAAAGAGATTCGATTTGTTGAAATAATTTGGGTCTTTAAGTTCCTTCAAAGTATCAAGAATAGGATACCACATAACTATTCCTTCTTGCAACGGAAGAATAATCCAATCAGGCTCATTTGGATTCATATCAAGTTTTTTTCGTTGTCAGGAATAAATATCCTTGGAGTCGCTTCCAATAGTACTGGTCATTGAAACAGCATAAGTAATAGATGTTGAGGTAGCTTTAATAAATTTTTCAATTAATTTAATTGGATCTCCTCCTATAAGATCAAATACTGGAAATTCTCCAATTATACCACGGAATATTTGAAGCATTTTTTCGGTAGCATCAGTAATTTTTCCAAAAAAGTAAAGGATATTTTTTGATTGCAACTTTTCTAGGACATTTTCTGCGGTTAGGCCATGTGGATCACCTTTTGGATAAGTATCTGCCATATCTGTAAAATTTTTGCCATGTGGTGGATAATCACCAATATGAAGAAGAACACGAGTAACATTTTTCCAATCCATTTTGGTTATTGCTGCATTAAGACCTCCGAGAACATCCTCTGGAGCATCACCACCACCGGAAGCAGGTACACTTTGCAAATATGTTGTAAATTGCTCATATTGGTCGGTAAAATCTAAAGTTAGTAGACGACCTTCTCCATCGATATGATCTCGATAACCACAAAAGCCGACCCGAAGTTCAATGCTTGGATTTGTATGTTTAATGTAGTTTGTCACCTGTAAGATACAATCTCTAGCAGCAGCAATAAAAGGTCTCATAGAACCAGTGCAGTCTAAAACAAAGCAAAGATCAACTTTCATTGAAAGTTTGATGTTATTGAGCGTTTTGGAGATAGCCTTTTCTCGCAAAAATGTAACTTTAGTTTTTAATTCATTTTCTGTATTAGAAGTTATTGTTGTATCAGCTGTCTCTTATACACATCTTAAATTGCAATTATTGAAAAAAATTATTTTAGGACTTAAAGTAATACATGAATCAGAACTTACTCATTGTGATTTTCATGATGGTAATATCTTAATATCAGATGATTATAATGAAATATATATTATTGATTTAGGATTATGCAAACCTATACAAAATTCTGATGATAAAATTGATAAAGTTTATGGAATTATACCTTATATGGCACCTGAAATATTAAGAAACAACCCTTATACTCCAGCAAGTGATATCTATAGTTTTTCAATGATGATGTGGGAATTTACATCAGGTATTCCTCCATTTAATAATAAAGCTCATGATGTTGAACTTATTTTAAGTATTTGTGAAGGAGATCGCCCTGTAATTATAAAAAATACTCCAAAATGTTATGAAAAAATGCTGGGATTCAGACCCTTCCAAAAGACCAATATAGTAATTATTGAAAATACTATATCTGAATGGCTTAGATGTGTTAATGAATATTATAAATTAAATGGTGAAGATGAACCAAGATATGAAGTTCCTAATATTGATAATCAATTAAAAAATGATATGTATGAATTTATAAAAGCAAATAGTGTTTTGACACTAGAACAAGATAATATTTCTGTTTTACAAACTCATCCACAAGCATATTATACAAGCCGCTTGCTTACTGAAATTTTATATCAAAATAATTCTGAGTGTTTGGATTGTATAATTTGAATTTAAATATAAATTTCTATAATGACTTTATTTATTGATCTCATAAAAAGTTAAACATATTTTATTTGTGATGATAAAAAAAAAAGTATCATTTGTAATAGATATTTTACTTTGTTTAATAAAAAATAAAAAATGTTTATTGTTTAAATAAATTTATTTTTTATTTAAATAAAAGATTAAAAATGGATGCAAATTTGTTTAATAAAGTCAATCAAAATATTAACTTAAAAAAATAATCTGTAAAGGATCCGATTTGTGACAGTTATCAAATTGTATAAAAAAACAAGTTGCCTTAGTCCCTGACAAGCGTTTCTAAACTGTTTAATGTGAGGCAATAACTTGAAATGAATAATACTAATAAATAACTATACATTGTATTAAGAAATGTCAAATTTTGTATTTTAAAATGAATGTTTTTGGTAGTTTGCCAAACCATTGATAAATCCACCATCTAATCCTTTGGATTCGACTTAACATAATACAGATACTGCTGATGACATATTTTTCTTTCTTAAAAAAAAAATTGTAAAGCAGTATGAATTGTATTATTTTTTTTTAATTACTAGCAGTCACTTGTTGCTTCGCACTGGGACCAATGAGTTTGTTTAAATAGAAAAATTTAGTATTATAATTAGGGATGGCAACGGTCACGGTCATTAACCGGTTATGACCAGTCATGACCGTGACCGATATCGGTCGGTCAAAGACCTCTGACCGACCGTTTAACCGACCGTTTGACCG